TATATATATATACGTATATATTTATATATCTGTTCTTTCACTTCTGTTTCTTACAGTACACGTATCTCTCACAGTGGTTACGGTGTAGCGCGCGCGGTTTAACTGCGTGTCGGACGCTCACGGCTTCGTCGGCTTACAGAGGGAGAGAGAGAAATAAAGAAAGAAAGAAAGAAAGAGAGAAGAACACTTAGCCAAGACGAAACACGAACACGTAAAAGCAACACACAGGTAAAAGGTAAGCACAGCGTCGGAACGGCGCAACTCACTTGGAAGTCTGTCTTTCCATTCGGCTGCCGCTGGTAGCGCTGCTGCTGGATGCTGAGCGACCGGACCTCGCCGGTTCCCTTCCTTTTCTCATGCCGCTCGGAAATATAGCAGGAGAGGAACAGAGAGAGAGTTAGAGAGAGAATTAGAGAGAAGAAGAGAGAGATTGAGAACTGGGTGGGGAGCTCACGGTTATCGTACCTACCAGCGAGCCTGCGACGCGCAGGTTGAACGTAGGAGACTTGGTTAGGACTGTGGTATGTGTGTGTATGTGTGTGTGTGTTGAATCTCACAGGTTTGTAGTTAGTATTTCGTATACCCTCTCCGTTCAAGATCAAACACTCTGGAACATTTATTTTCAAACGATTTGAAAACTTTTTCTCTTCAGTATTTGCCAACGTTCCAGATAAAAGAATATTTCCCTTTGATTTCAACCTATTTTTTATTTTTCTCCATTATGATTTAGAGGAATTGCAAAAGAATAGAACGAATATCTGTGTTATAATGTTATGTTCTATGTATAGTAATGTACAGCACTGAGGTAGGAGATCATTGGTGGGATGAGGACGCCGAGGGGGTGCGGTCGGTGCACCCCACCGTAAGCCAGAGGCACTCGGAGAGATCGAGTCGCCTTTTCTCCTCCTCCTCCTTCTCTTCTCTCTCGCTCTCTTTCTCTCTCGTTCTTTTACCTTATCTCCCTCCTTGCTCCCTGAACCCCCGTCGCTACTTCTTTTTTTCCCCTTTTTCCGTCTCTTTCTTCTGGCAGCAGCCGCGCCGACGCCCAGCCGGTTTTACACCTGAGAACCGATTCATTCTACCTTCTTGAGGACTGACGCTCCTAGTTCTTCTTCTTAGTTTCCATTTGGAATTACGGAGTCAACATGCAAATCATCGCGATCAGCTGCGATGCGAGCCGAGTTATATTGCGAGACGTATTCGAAATTTCTTTTCTTATTTCCATTTTTATTTCTCTCTCTTACTACCTCCCTCCTCCCACCCCTCTTTCTCTCTTTTTAAGATCAACTCGAAAATCGATTTTTACGTTTCTTTGTATTTGTTTTTTATTATTTTTTTTTTTTTTGTAAAATCTTATATCATTTTTCTTCATTGCTTCAAAAAAAAAAAAGAAAATTGTAAGAAATAAACTTTGAAGTTGTTGAGTTATGTTATTCTATATATATATATCGGTAATAAATGGCGATAAGATTTTCGTAATCGAAGAAACGTTGAAATTTATTGCTTTATTACCACTCCTCCGTGCGGTTTCTCGATTTTCTTTTCCTGAAACTAGTGAAACCAACGTATAAACGGCCTTTTTATTATTGTCAGACCCTTCTTTTCATCTTTCAACTTCTTTCAACTCTCCACTTCTTTCAAGCGGTTGACCATTTCTAAACGCAAACGTGGCAGGTAACCTACCTGGTAGAGAACGAACGAATCAATCGCATGCCCTGTGTTTTCTGTGTGCATCCTCGAGATAAGAAGGGCCTGAGTACACACACTCGGCCACATTCTTTCTTTTTTTCTCTCTTGGAAGGCTGAGTTATCGCATTGCTTAACGTTTCGGAAGCTTTTCGATAATACTTTTGCAAGTTTCTTCTCTTAAAAAAATAAAAAAACTAAACAAGACAGGTGTTCCTGACTTTTCCTTTTGTTTTTTCTTTTTCGATATTTTATTTGAGGAAGAGAAATATTTTTAAGGGTTTAGATATTATTAAAATTATTTTTCAAGATAGCCGAGTTATTCTCGATATTCGCTATACAAAGTTACGAAGATGAAGAAGAAGAAGAAGAGAACGATTGGTACAGCGTGCAACTGCCTCTGGCGTCGTTTTCTTCGGTGAACTAGTTCCCTCTTCTCTCTCTCTCTCTCTCTCTCTCTCTCTCTCTCTCTTTCTCTCTCTTTTTCTCTTTTTCTCCCTTTCATATGGTCGATCCATTCTACCACATCGATGTCTTACAACTACTACTACCACTCTCTACTACTAATACTAGTATTACTACTATACGTATCTCGAAGACTACGATCGCCAGCGTCCAGCGAGCAACGTCACCGAGAAGATCACCGTTCAAAGTTGAAAAGAGAGAATGAAAGAAAGAAAGAGATAGAAAAGAGAAGACAAGATTCAAAGATTCCAGCAAGTTCGAATGGTCAAAGATAAACAAGGAAAAGTTAACATTGAAAATGTAAAAGGGTATAACGTCGTTCCCAACTATGTTTGACTTTTGATATCGAACTATGGTCCCAAATGGGGGGAGACCCTGTCTTTAAAATTCGTAGTGACTCGATGTGACTTTTTTGTACGGTGGTGCGTCCGTCGATTTGCCGCCGCCGTACGGTGACTCGTTTGAATCGTCGCTTTATTCCGCTCAGGGAGCCAAAGAGAAGGACATAAAGGCGGAATCCGATTGGAAGGGATGCCAAGCTACGTGAAAGTTAAGAGGAAGGAGAAGAGAATATGAGAGAATAAGAAAGAAAGAAATAAAGAAAGAGAGAGAGAAAGAGAGAGAGAGAGAGAAAGATGGACCAAGACGGTGTTACTACGTGCACGGGACCCACGAACCGGCCACCGCATACCTGCACGACGCGTAATGAGAACATACCAGCGTCGTTCGGCCTGCTATCTGCTATCAAACGGATACCAACCACGGACCGTCTTTATCTGGGGCCCCCCTTTTCAAAATTTTGTTTTTTATTAAATTATATTCAAAAAAAAAAAAATCTTATAGCTTTTCTCGAAATATGTCTTTTTTTTTGTTTTTTTTTCTCTCCTCCATCATCTCCATCATCTACCCTTTGTTACAGAAAAAAAAAATAAATGTAATTTTTTATCGCAATGTTTTTTGGGCAAGTGTTATATCAAAGTTAATAATAGATATATCATTTGTTTCATTCTCTCTTTGTGTAATATTATTAATCTTTGATTGAGTTAGGAATAAATTCGAGTGTTAGATTGTTATCTTAAATATGTCGACTTAGGTGAACATTTATAGAAGAAAAGGATAGAAAAAAAGAAATGAAAAAACGAATAGAAAAGTATGAAAAACGTATGGAATGTAGTTACGTTGCTTGGCAATTCCGGACCGATAATTTCAAATCTAAAACTGGTTCTTATCGGTTTATCAGGATCTACATATATGCACAAGAAGGTTTCTAACTAACGATTATAAATACTTTGTTTGTTCGTTAGGGGGGTGAGGCGGGCGAAAAAAAAAGATATATATATATACACTTGTACTTACTTAAAAGATAAACCGTTTTTTTAAATGTCCATTTGATGTTTTTTTTTTCTTAAAACATCAGAAGAAAAAGGTAAGAAAAATGAATATGAATATCGACCTGTAACATCGAAGAAGAAATCATCGTTGCTTGCCCATCGTACGTTACTTCCCTGTACAGTTTGTTCGTATCGTTCTTTCTTTCTTTCGTTCTTTCGTTCTCTCGTTCGTTCGTGGTCGATTTCGTCTCAATGGCAGGCGGTCTCTCAAAAAATTTTGTCCACCTCTTGGTCGTCATTTTGGTCGTCATCCTGGTCGTCATCCTGGTCGTCTTTAAGTTACCGTGTGTACGCCTTTCCCAACTCATACTTACTCGTTCTACAACGCACGGTTTAACGTGGCCGAACACGCGAATGTGGTTTTGCATAATTAGGCTGCCTCTCTCGGCGGTCACTCTAATAACACGTGTACGTATATATATATATGTATATGTGTATATAATATATATATATATATATATATATATATATGTACAGAGTTCTCTCGTACCGTACAGTCTCCTCACGGACGATTACTTTCTAAGGATTGATTTCTTTCCAAAGAAACACGTTTTCTATTTGTTCTCTTTCGTTCTAATAATCTCCATTTTTGTCTTTTTATCATTTCTTCCTTTGGTTTTTTTTTCTTATCTTTTTAATAATAGATTTCACCCTCTTTTATCGATTGTGCCACATTTATTGTAGGGTAATTGTATTTTCAAATAAATATGGTCAATATTTATTATAATAAAATGTCAGAGTAGTATAATCATATTTCTTGTATCAATAATATAACCTTGACACGATCCTGTTCTTATTAGAAATACTGACCATTTTTTTTTTTTTCTGTAAAATACTTTATAACTGAACGAAATGATTTGACTGAATATTGAACAAAAATATTTTTTAAATATTGATCGAATAGATTAAACAAAAAAGTGTCTTTAATCGATCAATTATTTAAGATTTTTTTTTTATTTGCATACATCTAAAAAAAAACGTGTAAGAAATAAAAACGAAAAGAAGAAGCAATGGGAAGAGGAGGTAACTAATGGTCGTATACTTCTCTCCACACAACTATATTAATAAACTCTTTCCCTTTTTATTATCCCAAGAATTGTTCATATTTTTTTGTGTTTTCTTTTCTTTCTTTTTTTTCAAATCGATCATTCGACATTTCTTCCAGCATTTCGTTTTAAAGATTCATCATTATAACTCATCATCATCATCGTCATCATTAAGAATTGGAAAAAAAAAGAATTGGAAAGAGGAGGAGGAGGGTTTGCAGTGATCGTGTATACATCCCTCTAAAACTCTGTATTAAACTCTTTCTCTATTTTATTATCCCGAATAATTGTTCATTTCCTTTTTTTATTTTTGCTTGTTTCTTTTTTCTTTTTTCTTTTTTTCTTTTTGTTTGAAAATGATCTCATTCGACAATCCCACGAATAATTTCATTTTAACGAGATTCATCATTATCATTTTATTTATTTATTTATTATTATTATTATTATTATCGTCATCATCATCGTCATTCTGGATCGCGTATTTTTGTCTTTCATTCTCATCGATCGGTCCACCGAGCACGGAAGAGAAACGGTACGAGTTTGTATCGTGCGTTCGTTCGTTCGTTCGCCTCATCCTTTGCTATTACTTCCCTCTTCCTCTTTCATTCACATCCTCATCTTCCTTCTTCTTATCTTCCTCCTCCTCCTCCTCCTCCTCCTTCTCCTCCTACTCCTCCTGTTCTTCCTCCTCTTCCTTTTACTTCTTCTTCTTCTTCTTCTTTTCATGTCCTATGTGCGCTCGAGCGCATTAAAAGGCGCAATTAAATTTATGGTTGTTCCGAGATAGTGTGGCGTTTTTATTTTTTTTCTTTCTTTCTTACTTATATTCTCTCTTTTCCCCCTTACCCCAACTCCCTCTTTCCCATTTATTTTGCTTTGAATTGTTTTTTTTTTTTTGAATATTTCGTTCTTTTTTTAATTATTTTTCATTTATTATAATATATTATTATCATTATTATTTATTATTTATTATTATTTATTTATTTATTTTTTTTTTCCTTTTTTTTTTTGTTTTTAAATCTTACCGAATAAATGCGACGAGTGCGTGAATTTTAAATAAAAATTCATACTTATTTTTTGCACTATCTTTTTTCTTATTTTTTACACGATCACTCGAGCATACATATACACAGACACACATACATACATACATACATACATACACGCGCAAAGACACATGCACATGTTGACGTGAAACATTCATACGTATGTACGGAATCTCGTGCGCACGATTCTTTAAAATCGGTAATTACAAATATCGGTGGTAAGAACAGCGGTAATAATGTTTTTTTTTCAAATGGCAATTCCACGCATATATTCTTTTAAACACACGCATTATCTAACCACACGCTGGGCGAGAACGCATACTTTCCCGTCGACAAAATATTCCTTTCGCAAACGTTTCTCGTATTTATTCTTCGCGTGTAAATTGTGTATCCCCGTAGATACATAATTTCGCGTACTTTCCTATTTTAAATAATCGATCAATCGACTTATTTATTTCTTTCTGTTTGTTTTTTATCATTTAATTTCCGCGTTAACTACATTTTCTTTCCGCTGCATTTTTTTGTCCTTTTTTATACTTTTTATTATTTTTCTTTGGTTTTTGTTTGTTTTTTTGGTTTTGTTTCTTCTTCCTTTTCCTATCGTAATCACCTATAATCAATCACACGCAAGTGTACGAATTT